AGCACCCTCAGCAGCACCAGAGTCACCAGTAACCTCGACACGCTCGACTGCATCTACCTGGGACACACCTGAAGGGGCAGGACCCTGAGGGGGGACGGGGTCTACCGGGGGGGGACCTAGCACAAGGAAGAGCGGTGGCGGGGGGAGGGACGGAGTGCGGTAGGGGAAGAGGCGGTAGTAGGGGACCGAATCGTCAAACGTGACATCCTCGGAGGACAGAACACGGCGAGAGGTGGGGTGGTAGAACTGCCACCCTGGTGCGTTAGGGGCGAAGCCAAGGAAGACGCAGGGAGCAGCACGAGGGGACAGCTTGTCCGCAGACAAGTCGCGAACAAACGCCCGAGATCCCCTGACACGGAACGCAGACGCATCGCCAACCTTCCTCGTCCACAACAAAGTTGGGGAGGTCTCCGGCATGGAGACCCTGGGGTGAAGGTTGATCTGATGCGCCGCGTACCGAACCGCAAACGGCCACAGAAAATGGGGGGCAGCCGCATGCATCATGGACGTACGGGCGACGTCCATGACCATGCCAATGCGGCGCTCAGCAATCCCATTTTGCTGTGGAGAGTCCGGAAGCCTGAAGGTCTGGCGGATGCCTTGTGCACGACAGTAGGCTCGCAGAAGGCCAGAGGAGAACTCTCCGCCTCTGTCAAAGTGCAGACGCAGAACAGGAAAGTCCGAGCCAAAGCTCTGCCTGAGCTGGAGACGAGCTGCGCGGATCCAGTCAATCAACACCTCAGTGACATCACCCTTGCTGCGCAAGGGGAAGACTGTGGTGTAACGCAAGTAGTCGTCAACCACCAGCACGAAGTAGCGCTCGTGACCCTGTCCACAGATGCGGGCCGGGCCCCACACGTCCATGTGAAGCGTCTGCAGCGGGGCCTCTGTCGGAGGAAACTGGGAGGAGTGAGGGGCAGCCCGCTGGCGCCCCTCGACACAGGGGACGCAGGTAGGGCCAGGCCCCGGAGGAAGGGGAGGGAGGGACCGGGGAAGACCAGAGACAAGGACACGAGAGGCCATGCCTCGGAGACGAAGCAGGGAGGGGTGACCAAGACGGTGGTGCCAGAGGAGAGTCTCGTGAGACAGGAGGCGACACGAGCAGGGGGCAGACTCAGGACCACACCTGGACGCTGCAGCAAACACCTGACCCGATGCAGCTACCTGACCAGACGCAGTGACTGGAGGAGACGTAGTGCTTAGTGTGTACAGGCTCGACCCCGGCCGACGTGTAAACGTGGCCAGGTGTCGGCCTCTCCGAGCGTCCGTGCAGTGGGTCACGCGCTGACTCGCAGGAGTGAACTGGTGAACCCCCGCATCCTGTAGGTCAGCACCACTCACCAAGTTCGTAGAGAACGAGGGGAGGTAAAGACCAGACAGGGTGCCAGAGGGGGCCGCCGGACACGGGAGGACAGTGGAGAAGTGAGCAAGGACAGGACCCCCAGAGGGGTCTGCCAGAGAGACTGCAACTGGCCGTCCAAGCGGCGTGAGTACGGTGCGGTCTCGAAAGAAGGAGCGAGAAGCCCCAGAGTCAAGGGTGAAGGTGTGGGAGGCCGAAGCCGACGGAGTACCTGAGAGAGCAGACTCACCAGCACCTGAGGGAGCAGACGCACGACCACCTAGAGCAGCAGCCTTGCTAGCACCTAGAGCAGCAGCCTCACCAGTACCTAGAGCAGCAGTCTCAATGCCCGGGTCGGGCAGAAAACACCGGTAACAGTCACCCTCATCACTAATAGTCACAGCATACATGGCAGCAAGAATAGCATCAAAGTCAAGGTCAAAGACAGCTACTCCCGCCCTAGACAGCTCGCCCCAGCGGGGGATCTCAGCGGCCTCCGGGAACTGGTGACGCCAAGCGACCGTCAGGCGGCCAAAGCAGCGCTGGGTGGAGTGCGCACCCCCGCACTGCTCACCCGCGCGATCGCCGGTGCGTAGGACGTAGGTGCACGGACGAGTACCCCCACCCCGCTGGCATGCAGCGTACCACTCACGGAGCTGCTGGGCGGGGGGGATGTCATGAGTGCGCTGCTGCTGCTGCTACTGCTGCAGGCGCTGACCACCACCGGAGTCGACCCTCTGCGCAGCGCCACCCCGACCAGCTCCACCTCCTCCGCCACCGCCTCCTCCACCGCCGCCACCTCCGCCACCTCCGCTCCCACCGCCACCACCGCCGCCGCCTCCGCCTCCACTGCCGCCACCGACACCTCCACCCCCTCCACCACCCCCACCGCCACTCCCACCCCCTCCGCCGCCTCCACCGCCACCTCCACCGCCCCCGCTAGCTCCTCCAGCGCCCCTGCCCCCCTTGCCCTTGCCAGGGTGGCGTCTCCCGCTAGGGGTAGACGCCGCACCGACCGACTCAAGACCAACGAGGTCGGCCGCAGTAGAAGAGGCAACAGAGGGCAAAAGGGGGGAGGGGGAACACCCCTCAAAGATGGGGGTGCGAGGGTCACAACGAGAGGCTCCTACAGCTACTATGCTCTTCTCTGCTGCTAGGAGGGTCTTCACGAGGGGGTCAACGGTGAGAGTGGTGGGGCAAACGGAGAGGAAGTGGTCCCTGACTACGCGAAGGGAGTCAGGGAGCCGGGTGACTATGTAGTAGAGGGTGATGTACATAAGGGGAGGGCGGGGGGGGGGGGGGTTTGGCGCAGAACTCAGCAGGAAGCGCAGCGCGGTAGCGAGTGTCACTAGTGCGGAGGTGCGTAATGAGGTCAGCGACTGTGGGAAAGACAGCAAGGTCAGGGAAGAGGTACGGTAGCATGAGGCGGCTCAGTGCAGCAGTGGCAGGGGAGGAGTAGCATGCAACTACGGCGTCGTACAAGGTCTGAGCACTCTTGTACTGGCTAAAGTGCGCACGCTCAGAGGTAGGCAGGTGGCGACGCACAGCAAGACGTGCAGCAGCATCGCGTGTGGCCCACTGTGAGCGAACAGTGGCGTCAGCATCAGTAGCAGGGGCAGGAGAGGCACCAGAAGTGAGGTCAAAGAGGGAGAGACCGTCTGCCCTATCGCACTGTAGGAAAAGCTGCAGGTCATCTACCTAGACGTCAAAGTCAATGGCACGACCCTCAGCATCAAAAGCGAGGACACTAGGGGTAGCCATGACAGCAGTAGACTAGCAGCGCGAACAGTGGGGTGAGGGCAGTGCAGTGACAGAGGCGCTGCTCTTACCGGACAGGGCGGCTCGGGCGGTTCAGCGGCTCGGCAGCTCGGCGGCTCGGCAGCAACTGCGGCTCGGCGACTCGGCGGCGCTGGCGGCTCGGCGATACAGCCGCTCGGCGGCTCGGGCGGCTCAGGTGGCGTGGTGGCTCGGGCGGCTCAGGTGGCTCGGGCGGCTCGGCAGTAGGTCGGCGGCGCCGGTGGCTCGGTGGTGACGGCGGGGCCGCATGGGGACGGCGGCGGGGCCGGTAGAGGAAGCGCCGGGGCCGGGAAGGGTAGCGCCGGGGCCGCAGGGTAGGCGACGGGGCCAGCAGAGGCGGCGCCGGGGCCGGGAAGGGCGGCGCCGGGGCCGGGAAGGGCGGTGCCGGGGCCGAAGGGGTACGCGACGGGGCCAGCAGAGGCGGCGCCGGGGCCGGGAAGGGCGGCGCCGGGGCCGGGAAGGGCGGTGCCGGGGCAGGGAAGGGCGGTGCTGGGGCCGCAGGGGTAGGCGACGGGGCCGCAGGATAGGCGCCGGGGCTGTAGGGTAGGCGCCGGGGCCAGTAGGGTAGGCGACGGGGCCGCAGGGTAGGCGACGGGGCCGCGAGGGTAGGCGCTGGGGCCGCAAGGGTAGGCGACGGGGCCGCGAGGGCGGCTTGGAGGGGTCGCTAGGGCGGCTCGAAGAGGCCGCGAGGGTGGCGCGAAAGGGCCGCGAGGGCGGCGGAACGGGGCCGCGTGGGCGGCGCGACGAGGCCGCGAGGGCGGCGCGACGTGATGGGGCCGCGAGGGCGGCGCGACGGGGTTGCAAGGGCGACTCGACGGGGCCGCTAGGGGGGCGCGACGCGACGGGGCCGCGAAGGCGGCGCGACGGGGTCGTAAGGGCGGCGCGACGGGGTCGTGAGTGGGGAGCGCGACTCGGGCATAGGCTGAGCGCGCTCCGGGCAGGAAAAAAAAAGGTGGGCCCTAGGAACAGTTCCCACAGGGGAACCTGCTCTATACCATGTGAAATTGAACAAGAAATGGAATGACTAAGGGAGAGTTGGGTACAAGTACAAACCCTAGAAAGCTGTACCCCATATGTGCTACCCCACTGTAGCCTACAATAGCTATGTCATATAAATCTGACACCTTGGATAAGCGCCAGGCGCTTTTAATTGGCATGTGGCGCTTATATCCGCTCTTCGATTATAAGCGCACCCCCTGAAAAAAACTTGTTTTATTATAAGCGCACATAAACTTTAAAATTTGAAATGTGTTCAAAAAGCTGTAACGAATTTTACTTTAGCAAGCGAATGTGTTGCAGATAGGCCTCTGGATAGGTTTGGAAGCACTCTTAGTCGAAAGGGCAGTTTGCCAAAGCTGGTCTTTCAGTAAGGGTGAGGCAGCCATGTCAGTCTTGTTTATCAGTGTTGGCTGCAGTGTTACTCGTGCTCGTCACTGTGCTGTGCTGTGCATCTCGGTTAGTTGTACCATTTTTTGTTTACCAACGAGTAAAATATGGTTGACTTCATATGTGATGTGACATGTGAATTACAACAAAAAACTACATGACTAGAGCTAGAACAACAGTAGGACCTACATATGGGATGGTCTGGCCTGGTTCCAGCAGAATACTCAAAGTAAGGGAAAGCACAAGTCAATACAGGAACTCCTGGGTAGGACGGCGCTTCTTGCTAGCATTGAACAGGGCTACCACATTCACCCAGTTCAGACCATTACTGGGCAGGAGGGCTGCAGTCATCAGATCGCCCAATTTTGCGTCGCCCAGGCATGTCCGTTTCCACGTCTTGATACCGTTCTGGCGACTGAAGCCCCGCGGCCTGCCACAGCTGCACAAGGTTCGGGTAAGCTCCTATGTAGTCCGTTGACTAGAGCATGAGCGAGAGGGACTTGTGGAAGCTGATGTTGTCGTGGTTGGTATCCATGGTGTGGAGAAACAACGGTAGCTCCCTCTCGCACGCCTTGAAGCACACACCTGACGGATGGGAGAGCAATGAGAGGGGCGATCGGGGCGTATGGGAGATGTTTAGCAGCACACCAAGGTACACACACACACAGAGCAGGCAGCATATTGCTGGCACAACCAGGTGGCGTACCAAAGAGGCGGTGGTGAAACATGTGGTCCAGCATGCCCAACCACTCGCGGCACTTCTTCATCCGCTGCGCGTTGTCGTCAGGATAGCACGAAGGCCGGAAAAGCTTGGAGCCGGCCAGGTCCTTGAGGTCTTCCAGGCGGAACTCGAGTCGCGCAACGCAGGCCCTTGCAAACTCCGGACACACCGCCTTGCAAGAGTAGTAGTCGCCGCCCGTCTTGTGGCCTTGGATCTTACGCTCGTGAAGCTCGAACTTGTGCTCTGCAGCGTCGCCATTCTGGTCCACGCCATTGACGGTGACCTCGCGCTGTTGAGGGTTGCCGTGCTTCTTTAGGAAACGGTCCTCGCAGTCCACGTAACGCACTTCGATCATCCGGCAAGTGAGCGACACCTCCCCCGCGACCACCGTGATGTCAACCTGTGAGTGGGTGTGGGTGGGATGAGGAGTTGCTGCCAGAGGTTGATGTACGATGGTTAACAACGGCACACAACCGCCACTTATAACAACCGGGAACAAGGCTCGGAAACGGGGTACCAAGGTGGGAAATAACGGCCAACATGTACAACCTCAAAACCCCACACGTCACCTGCTGCTTCTGGAACTTGGCGTTGAGCTCGTTGAGCACGGCAAGAATGTCTGCAAGGAAGAAAAGCATGAACTGGAATTTGAAAGAGGTGACGGCTTCATAGAGCGCGTGCTTGAAATCGTGTAGCAGGACGATCGTGGTCGGTAGAACCTTGGCGAACCGCTTGACTGCCTCCCCTCTAGAGAGCCACTGCACGTTGTGGATCCCCTGCAGCTCCAAGTTTGTTTCGCAGATGTACTCTTGAAGGTGCTCGAATCGCCGGTGCCAGTTGCTCGACCTAGATAGCTGCTCCGCCACGTTGCGCACCGCCTGGTCTATGATGTTGAACTCTGGCACCTCCTCAGCAGCATCCTTTGCGGCCAACGCCTCCCTGCTCAAGGTAGAACAGAGAAAACGTGCGATTGAAGTGAGTGGGCAGTACATGATCAACACTACACACCTGCCTTAACGCCAATAACACAGACGGACTTACCGATGTGCGACGCAGTGGCACGACACGAGATAGGGATTCCTCGCCCGGAGTCGTGCCACAACACCATTGCTGGTGCCTTTCATGACTCTGGCGCCGTCGGTGCTGATTCCAATGATTCTGGACATGTCAATGGCCAGGGCATCAAGGTGGGTCAGTAGCACATCGACGAGACTTGCCGCGTCACATTTGTCAACTGGCAGCAGCGCGAGGAACTCACATACGCTCGCCCCGTCCTTCATGAAGGTCACGTAGACGATCAGGTGCTTGCCGTGCGCCTTGTCAGTACTCTCGTCGAGCTGTATGGAGATGTACGGGCTTGCCTCGATCTGCTTCAGTTGCTCTTGCCGCATGTACTTCGCGGCAGTTGCTCTTGCCGCATGTACAACGCCGATCTCCGTTACAGGAGCCGTCGCTTCTGGAGGGGAAGGTTTAGTCGCTGTAGTGCAAACTTCAGGTGAGCGCAGGTCATGCCCTGATTCATCCACGCAGGTTTCATTCTCGGTAGAAGCAACTACGGGCTCCAGATATGGCGGATTTTTAGCGGGGGTTCGTAGAAAGCTGAGGCCCGTTCGTGGGGGTGAATTTTGGACTTGACGACGTGCTTCGTCGTCACCATCACACCCTTTGTCAGCAGCCATGGCGAGGCCCAGAGGGTGGATGCAGGAGCTGAGCCTACGCTAGCTGTATGAGAGAGCGGTGGCGTGGTTTGCAAACTCTAGACTAGACGAGATAGTGAGGAGGAAGGATTGAGAAATGAAACGAGGAGGACTGGGGTTGGGTGCGTGTGTGAGACTGGTCGGTGGGTGGGGGCCTGCGGGGGAGGGAAGAAGAGATGCTTCCAAGCAGGACACTCCTCCTGCACGAAGCACGAGCGTGTGGCGCTGCGCGACATTGCCAGCTGGGAAAATTGCAGGTGAGCCAGGTACAGTTGACGGGACTATGGCAGTGGCGACGCGAGCCGTCTAGGCGACGCGCACATCTGGTGACTCAGGCAAAACGCCGCTAATCGCGGCCCAAATCTCGTCAGTACCCCCCCCCCCCCCCCCCCCCCCCCCCCCCCCTCCGCCGCGTCAAATCGCATCAGGGTGGTACGCGACACTAGTCTTTGTCGTCAGGGCGAGTACACCCAACATGTCTTAAATATCAGTGTTAACAAAAAGATTTTTTTTTTCGGCTAAGGGTGCCTCATAAAACAACTTTTAAAAACACCTAAACCCACCCTTATAATAAGGGCCATAAGGGTGTTTCACCCTGATATCGAGAGGCCTGGTTGCAGATTCGGTTCCCTCCACATTTGGACCCTGCACTGGATGCGAGTCTAGTCAGCAGGAGCTGTCAGGAGCTGGATGTGAGTCAGATTGAGTGTATCTCCCAGCGCGCGCGAGAATTTCGCTGATGACCCCATGTAACTTCGACTCGATTGAAAAGGCAAACATGAGATCTACAGTTTGGTGTTAGAAAACATAAAATTTATATATGTCATTTTATAAACGCATGCGCTTATAAATTTACTCGATTATAAGCCCACACCTCTAAAAGGACATTTTATTATTGCCCCCCATGGGGGTATATCCGGGGTGTGACGGTACCGTCGTTCTTCTGCTCATTAACCAATGATATTCACTTGTGAAATAAAGAAACAAATTTACGTATTAATCAAGCAGGCTCCCAAGCTCGTCCAAGAGCCACATCCTCCTTTTTGAGATTCCTGGCAATGGAATTAAGCGTCCTTCGTAGTCTAGGAATGTCCGCAATGACAGTGGTGTCACACGTCCCTTCGCTAAACAGCAAATAGTACTTTATAGAGCACGCATATGCGAGACTGTTGTAACACCGGTTGGGGCATTTGTCAGGGCGAATTTCCAAGAGGTGCGATCTGACGGGCATGAAGATGAGGTTGGATAACGCCGCCCCGTGGCCGCCCACAAAGAGCCGAGTCCGGCGGAACAAAGCACGTGCTGGGGAATAAGGAAAGAGTGTGGGAGAGGGTAAAGTGGTAGGAATGAGTAGGGAAGTGGCGTGGGGTTGGAGAGTGCTGCCCCGTGCCCTCCCACAAAGAGCAGAATGCGACGAAACTAACTACGGGCTGAGAGAAAAGGGAGGGTTGGGTGGAGTGTGGGAACACAGTGGGGAGGGAGGGATGGCTGAGGAAATCAAGGTTGGAGAGTGCCACCCCGTGCCCTCCCATCAAGAGCCGAGTGCGATGGAACAAATTACATTACAGGCTGCGGGAATGGGGAAGAAGGGGTGTGGGAGGGGATGGGAAATGAGTGGGGGACAGAAACCGGGAGGAAGGCAGGACCAAATGGGGAGGAGGCGGGTGGGAGGGGGAAGGAGTGGGCGAGGAGGGGGAGGGGGAAGAAGGGGGGAGTGGTGAGAGGCATGAATGCGAGGTAGAGTGTCGCCCCGTGCCATTCCACAAAGAGCCGTGTGCGGCAAAACAAGGCACACGCTGAGACGAGAGAAAAACGAGTGCGGGTGGAAGGAGAAATACGGGGGGTTGGGGGCAGTGTGGGGGGGAGAGAGTGGAGAGGAAGGGGTGGTTCAGGAAGATGAGGTCGGAGAGTGCTGCCCCCTGCCCTCCCACAAACATCCCAGCCAGGCAGAACAACTCCACACACGCTGCAGGAATGAAGAGAACGAGGAGTTGGTGAAGGAGCGCTTTGTGAAGGAGCGCTTTGTGAAGGAGCGCTTTGTGAAGGTGAACCATGTGTGTGTGTGTGGTGAACCATGTGTGTGTGTGTGGTGAACCATGTGTGTGTGTGTGGTGAACCATGTGTGTGTGTGGTGAACCATGTGTGTGTGTGTGTGGTGAACCATGTGTGTGTGTGTGGTGAACCATGTGTGTGTGTGTGGTGAACCATGTGTGTGTGTGTGGTGAACCATGTGTGTGTGTGTGGTGAACCATGTGTGTGTGTGGTGAACCATGTGTGTGTGTGGTGAACCATGTGTGTGTGTGGTGAACCATGTGTGTGTGTGGTGAACCATGTGTGTGTGTGTGGTGAACCATGTGTGTGTGTGGTGAACCATGTGTGTGTGTGTGGGGTGAACAACACCACGGCAGAGCCGTGTGCACACATGGTGGGCGGCGAGCCAACACGATCAGCCAGTCGGGCGGAAGGCAGGTGAGGTGAGCTGCTGCTGGTAGGAGGCGCCTCAAGTAAAACCACACCCGTCGCTCTCTAAGATGTGTCAGGTGCGTCAGAGGGACGCTGTGTGAGCACCACCACCCAGTCGTGCGGCAGGTGGGAGAGCTGCTGATAGGAGAGAGCCTCAAAGAGGAACCCCTCATTTCCCAAGGGCCCTCAGAACCAGACCAGACCCCAGGGCAAGCAATGCACCTTGCATGAGCTGCAGCGACCCGTCAAACACAACAACCCTCTCTGCTGGAAACGCGGCGAGAACCGCTTCTTTAACCTCCTCAGCGTTGCTGAAGGAGCGCTTCCCTGACGGCCGCTGCGCCAACACCACCACCCAGTCGGGGGGCAGGTGGGTGAGTTGCTGGTAGGAGAGCGCTGGGCGGTAGTGGTAGGAGAAGTCGGGGCGGAAGAGTGGCAGGCCCTGCCGGTGCAGCAGGTGGTGCCGCCTCAGCTCCATCCAGAGGGCCTTGTTGGGCGCCCCACACTCCTGCAGCATTGGCTGTGGGGAGGAGGGGGAGGCGTGGGGTAGGGGGAAAAGGGAAGGGAAGAATAAAGAGGAGGTGAAACAGCAGATGGTGCCGCCTCAGCTCCATCCAGAGTGCCTTGTTGGGCGCCCCACACTCTTGGAGCATGGGCTGGGGGTAGGAGAGGGGGGTTTAGGGGGGAAAAGGGGGGGAAGGAGATAGCAGGAACGAGTGGTGTTGGAAGAGAGAGAGGGGGTGAAAGACGGGTTCTGGTGCTGCCACCGCTGCATCCAGAATGGCTTGTTTGGCGCCCCACACTCTTGGAGCATGGGCTGGGGGCAGGCAGGTGGAGGAGGAGGGGGAGGGGTCGAGGAGAGAGCAGGGGAGGAGGAGAGAGCAGGGGAGGAGAGAGCAGGGGAGGAGGAGAGAGCAGGGGAGGAGGAGAGAGCAAGGGGGGAGGAGAGAGCAGGGGAGGGGGAGAGAGCAGGGGAGGAGGAGAGAGCAGGGGAGGAGGAGAGAGCAGGGGAGGAGGAGAGAGCAGGGGAGGAGGAGAGAGCAGGGGGGGAGGAGAGAGCAAGGGAGGAGGAGAGAGAAGGGGAGGAGGAGAGAGAAGGGGAGGAGGAGAGAGCAGGGGAGGAGAGAGCAGGGGAGGAGGAGAGAGCAGGGGAGGAGGAGAGAGCAGGGGAGGAGGAGAGAGCAGGGGAGGAGGAGAGAGCAGGGGAGGAGGAGAGAGCAGGGGAGGAGGAGAGAGCAGGGGAGGAGGAGAGAGCAGGGGAGGAGGAGAGAGCAGGGGAGGAGGAGAGAGCAGGGGAGGAGGAGAGAGCAGGGGAGGAGGAGATGGCAGGGGGGGAGGAGAGAGCAGGGGAGGAGGAGAGAGCAGGGGGGGAGGAGAGAGCAGGGGAGGAGGAGAGAGAAGGGGAGGAGGAGAGAGAAGGGGAGGAGGAGAGAGCAGGGGAGGAGGAGAGAGCAGGGGAGGAGGAGAGAGCAGGGGAGGAGGAGAGAGCAGGGGGGGAGGAGAGAGCAGGAGAGGAGGAGAGAGCAGGGGAGGAGGAGAGAGCAGGGGAGGAGGAGAGAGCAGGGGAGGAGGAGAGAGAAGGGGAGGAGGAGAGAGAAGGGGAGGAGAGAGCAGGGGGGGACGAGAGAGCAGGGGAGGAGGAGAGAGCAGGGGGGGACGAGAGAGCAGGGGAGGAGGAGAGAGCAGGGGGGGAGGAGAGAGCAGGGGAGGAGGAGAGAGCAGGGGGGGAGGAGAGAGCAGGGGAGGAGGAGAGAGAAGGGGAGGAGGAGAGAGCAGGGGAGGAGGAGAGAGCAGGGGAGGAGGAGAGAGCAGGGGAGGAGGAGAGAGCAGGGGAGGAGGAGAGAGCAGGGGAGGAGGAGAGAGCAGGGGAGGAGGAGAGAGCAGGGGAGGAGGAGAGAGCAGGGGAGGAGGAGAGAGCAGGGGAGGAGGAGATGGCAGGGGGGGAGGAGAGAGCAGGGGAGGAGGAGAGAGCAGGGGGGGAGGAGAGAGCAGGGGAGGAGGAGAGAGAAGGGGAGGAGGAGAGAGAAGGGGAGGAGGAGAGAGAAGGGGAGGAGGAGAGAGAAGGGGAGGAGGAGAGAGCAGGGGAGGAGGAGAGAGCAGGGGGGGAGGAGAGAGCAGGAGAGGAGGAGAGAGCAGGGGAGGAGGAGAGAGCAGGGGAGGAGAAGAGAGCAGGGGAGGAGGAGAGAGAAGGGGAGGAGGAGAGAGAAGGGGAGGAGGAGAGAGCAGGGGGGGAGGAGAGAGAAGGGGAGGAGGAGAGAGCAGGGGGGGAGGAGAGAGCAGGGGAGGAGGAGAGAGCAGGGGGGGAGGAGAGAGCAGGGGAGGAGGAGAGAGCAGGGGGGGAGGAGAGAGCAGGGGAGGAGGAGAGAGCAGGGGGGGAGGAGAGAGCAGCATGGAGGGAGATTGAGTGAGTTGATGTTGGAAGGTGCCGGTGGTGGTGGTGGGATAAGTTGGGTTTACAGAGAGGCATGTCAACACACAGCCACCCATCCATCCACCCACGAACCGATGCATGCACGCATACACCCTCGGCTGCTTTTGAGATTTCTGAAAATGCATGCACCCATCCACCCACTTGCGCATGCACCCACACACCCACTCGCGCATGCACCCACACACCCACTCGCGCATGCACCCACACACCCACTCGCCCATGCACCGACACGCCCATGCTCCCATCCACCCACGCACCAAATAGAGCGTGTCGACGTGAAAGAGGTCCCCCTCGGTTGCCTGAAGGGCTCTCATGTCCGTCCGATTCACCCCTATGAAGATGCGGCCTATGCTGTCGTATAGGTCCCACTGTATGTGCGCAAAGGAGGTGAGAGGAGATTGAATGGGGATTGAGTGCAGTACCATGTTTGGGTAGTGACACCCGTTCACACCTGTGAAGATGCGGCCTATGCTGTCGTATAGGTCCCACTGCTCTTGCGCAAGGAGGTGAGGGGAAAGGAAGAAGAAGTTGGCCGTCAACAAAGTTTATAACCAAGACTGACGCGCATACACCCGGAGAAGCCATAAACCTAGTGCAATGAATGCCACTGCAAACTCCACTCCATTGCACTGCACTGGACTGCACTGCAAACTGCACTCCACTGCACTGCACTGCACTGCACTGCACACAAGGACGAGAGGGGGAAGGTCAACAAATGAGTTGCAATGAAAAGAAGTGTAATGAATGAAGGCTGACGACCGCGCAAGTCGTTGAGGTGGCTTGAGTCAACTCACAAACACAACCACCACCATTCCACGTACTCACATCACACATCCATACCCACCCACCCGCCCACCCACCCACCCTCATGCAGACATGCAGACATGCACCTGGAAGCGCTCTGCTATGATGGGAATGTCTCTGAGGTTGGGCAGTGCTGCAGCGGCCACGAAGAAAGAAGGAATGGCCTCGACCAGGAAGTGGTAGAAGTTGCTGCCCTGCGTGTAGCCCCAGTCAAACGCCAGCTTCATGCGATGCACCTTCTGGCCCTGCGGGTAGGAGAACTGGGTGAGGGAGACAAGCGGGAGAGGGTGGAGAAGGGTGGAAAGGGGTTGAGGGTAAGTGACAAAGAAGGAAGGGATGGCCTCGACTAGGAAGTGGTAGAAGTTGCTGCCCTGCGTGTAGCCCCAGTCAAACGCCAGCTTCATGCGATGCACCTTCTGGCCTTGTGGGTAGGAGAACAGGAGGAGAGGGGGGGAGGGGACAGGGAGGGGAGGGGTGGAGAGGGGTGGAGAAGGGTGGAGAAGGGTGGAGAAGGGTGGAGAAGGGTGAAGCGGGAAAAGTAGGAGACAACCTCGACGACCAGTCAAAGATTCAAAGGCCAGTTCAGCGTGATGAGTCTGTTATTTTAGAATTCTCAGAAAACAGTTGGTGCCCTCCCAGTAGCCCCAGTCAAAGGCCAGTTTAGGGTGATGCACCTTTTGACCCTGAGGGTAGGAATACTGGTTGAGGAAGACGACAGGACAGGCAGAGGTTCGAGGGGTGGGGAGGGGTGGAGAGGGGTTGAGGGTGAAGTGAAGCGATGACAAAAGGAAGGGGCGGCCTCCAATAAGAAGTGGTAGAAGCTGGCGACTTGTGGGTAGTCCCACTCAACTGTCAGTTTTATCCGATGCACCTTCTGGCCCTGCGGGTATGTATGAGAACTGGAGGAGAGAGTTGAGAGGGCCGCGGGTGAAGAAGGGCGGAGAAGAGCGGAATGGAAAGGGGTGGAGGAGAAGGGAGGAGGGGTTGAAGGGAGGAGGGGTTGAAGGGAGGAGGGGTTGAAGGGAGGAGGGGTTGAAGGGAGGAGGGGTTGAAGGGAGGAGGGGTTGAAGGGAGGAGGGGTTGAAGGGAGGAGGGGTTGAAGGGAGGAGGGGTTGAAGGGAGGAGGGGTTGAAGGGAGGAGGGGTTGAAGGGAGGATGGGATAGCCTGGACTAGGAAGTGGCAGACGTTGCTCCCCTGTGAGTAGCCCCAAACAAAGGCCGGCTTGATGCGACACATTTTGTTTGTGGCCTAGCGGGTATCAGTACTGGGGTGAGGGTTGAGGGAGAGATGAACGGAAGGGAGGTATGGGGGAGGGTGAGGGGATGGCCTCGACTAGGAAATGGTAGAATTTGCTCCCCTGCGAGTAGCCCCAGTCGACGACGCGAGGCACCTTCTGCCCCTGAGGGTACGAGTACTGGGTGAGGGTGATGGGAAGGTGAGGGGGGTGGAGAAGGGTGGAAAGGGGTGAGGGGATAGCCTCTAATTGAACCCGTTTTTTTCCTAGATACGAGCGCTAGTGGGTTGGCATTGAAGGGAGAAGAGGAGGGAAAGGGTGGAGGAGGGAAGGGAGGGAGAGGAGGTGATGGAGCACTGCGCTCCTCACAGTAACCCTCACTCACTTTTGAGTTGACTCAAAAGTCACCTCGAGAGGAGGTGATGGAGCACTGCCCTCCTCACAGTCACTCACCGGGTTGAATCGCTTGCAGCCTTGGTGCACGTATAGGTGGGTGGCGTTGAAGACAAAGCCCTTGTAAATATCCCTACGCATACACGCCCTTTCTAGTCAAGATGTTAACTCATGGAAACCCTCACACTCACTGGGTTGAATCGCTTGCAGCCCTGGTGCACGTATCGGTGGGTGGCGTTGAAGACGAAGCCCTTGTGTGTCACCATGACCTCATGCAGGCGAAACACCTGCATGAGGCACAGCATGGCGCATGGCATGGCATGGCATGGCATGGCATGGCATGGCATGGCGTGGGAACGGGACAGGGGCATGAATCATGGGGCACGGGGCGGGCGGGCATGATGCATGGGGCATGGAGCATGAGGATTGGGGCATGGGGCCTGCATGGGCATGGGGCGCTGCCACATTGGCATACGGGTGCACTATGGACAAACACCTGCTCAATGACATGCACCTGTATTGAGACTCAAAGGTACCTCAGAATGAACCATGGCCAGCACGCCTACCCTAGACACACGCACCTGACATTGAGACGACTCAGATGAAGCCATTTTATAGTCGAGTAAAAAATAAACTAAACACACGCACCTGACATTGAGGCGACTCAAATTTCATCTCGGGACACACCACAGACACCACACCCGCCCAGCAGCCCAAAAGGCACGCACCCGCACAAACACTCGCGCCTGCACAAACACTCGCACCTGCACAAACACTCGCACCCGCACAAACACTCGCACCTGCACAAACACTCGCACCTGCACAAACACTCGCACCCACACAAACACTCGCACCCGCACAAACACTCGCACCTGCACAAACACTCGCACCTGCACAAACACTCGCACCTGCACAAACACTCGCACCTGCACAAACACTCGCACCTGCACAAACACTCGCACCTGCACAAACACTCGCACCTGCACAAACACTCGCACCTGCACAAACACTCGCACCTGCACAAACACTCGCACATGCACAAACACTCGAAAGCAGACTCACACCTACCGTTCAAGCAGGCCGCACCTGCATGGCGGACGGCTCTCGGGGGTTGAAGTCCCTAGGGTGCGAGCACGTCTTGTCATGGTTCTGCCACGGCACCCGCGGATTCTTTAGGGGGGCCTTCTTGGGGCAGTTGAGGGGCGCGCGAGCGGGTAGCAGCAGAGGCGCATCGAGATGCTCGTTCCAGCACGCGTGCACGTTGGGGTAGGCAGAGCCGCAGGGGGCGAAATCGGGACAGGGAGGACCGTGGCAGCGAATCAGATCGCCGAACCTGGGGGGGTTGAGGGCGGGAGGAAGAGGAGGTGTGTTCAGTTGAGGCTCAAGGGCTTGGGGCAGTCATGAGACAAGCGAGGCGGTGTGCTTGCCTTGCACTGAGTGATCCATCCATCCAGCGACTTCGATCTGATCCGGCGGGCGGGTGGCAGAAGAGGCGAATTTTGAGGCGCCTCAAAAGTGACAAGCGAGCGGGTGTGCTTGCACTAAGTGATTCAGATCCGGGCAGCAGGAGAGGTGCGTTGAGGAGAGGGTTCCAGCACGCATGCACGTTGGGATAGGCAGAGCTGTAGGGGGGGGAAGGCGGGACAGGGAGGGCCGTGGCAGCGAATCAGATCGCCGAACCTGAAGGACAGAGGGGAGGTGAAGAGGGAGGAGGTATTTTCACGCTAAGCATTTTCTTAGAACAGAAACGAGCAAGCACTGCCACTCCCCCCCACCTCTCCCCATTTCCCCCCATGCCCTCTCACTTGTCAAGCAGATCTCAGAACGCTGTCAACAGTGCCACGTTGGAACGAGCCGTGTTTTGAGTCGACCCAAAACACGGCGTCTCACTTGTGAAGCAGATCTCGGAACACTGTCAACAATGCCAACTTGGAATGAGCAAGCACCCCCCAAACCGAACCACTTCCCCCTTCCTCCCTCCCTCCTCACCCCCCTTTTTCCCGACACGCTCCCTCACTTGTCAAGCCGCGCTAAAAAGCGCCGGCATGGCGTTGCTCTGTTGCAACTCTTGAGATGACACGTCTCAACAAGCGCCGGCATGGCGTTGCTCCGTTGCAACTCTTGAGATGACACGTCTCAACAAGCGCCGGCATGGCGTTGCTCTGTTGCAACTCTTGAGATGACACGTCTCAACAAGCGCCGGCATGGCGTTGCTCCGTTGCAACTCTTGAGATGACACGTCTCAACAAGCGCCGGCATGGCGTTGCTCTGTTGCAACTCTTGAGATGACACGTCTCAACAAGCGCCGGCATGGCGTTGCTCTGTTGCAACTCTTGAGATGACACGTCTCAACAAGCGCCGGCATGGCGTTGCTCTGTTGCAAGACGCCAAAGATAGCAAGCGGAAGCGAACAAGCACCCCCAGAACCCATGCAGCAGGGTATTACTGAGAAGAAGAAGAATAATAATAATAATAATAATAATAGTAATAATAATAATAATAACAATAATAATAATAACCCTTTTTTAGGCGTCTCAAAATCGTGGAAATGAGAAAGCACCTGTTAGAATTAGGCTATCAACACTTTGTGTACTATATTCTATATCGTGTAGGTTATTTGCGGGTTGGGTGTAGTTTGTAATCCCAACCCTATCTGGTTGGGATTCCCTCATAATCCTGCAAATCTGCCAACTCACCAATTGGATATTTGCTAGGATTCCCATCCCATCCTTTCCCTAGCCTTGCCCATCCCAACCTCGTTTGTACTTAAGGCCTAGTGCCTTCTTTCCTAATCAATCAGTTCAGTTCCAATTCTATCATGGTATCGAGCTAGCAAATTCCACTCACGCGGAATCCGATCCTTGGCGTCGCGATCATTCTCTTCCTCTCGGCTATGGCGTTCTCGGTTCACGCCTTCTTCGCTTAGCGTTTTTCGTCTTCACATCGTCGCACTGGTCAAAAGCGCTTTCCCGCTCCGCATACGTGCATTTCCGATTTCCACGGCGGCACATTTCTCCGTCAATTTCCTTCATCGTAAGCTCTGAAATTTCAAATTTCCGTGGCAATTTTCTCACATTCGAAACTTCCAGCAGGTTCAGCGGCCCAGCAGAGCAGGTTCAGCGGTGCAGCAGAGCAGGTCAGCGGTGCAGCAGAGCAGGTTCAGCGGCGCAGCAGAGCAGGTCAGCGGCGCAGCAGAGCAGGTTCAGCGGCGCAGCAGAGCAGGTTCAGCGGCGCAGCAGAGCAGGTTCAGCGGCGCAGCAGAGCAGGTTCAGCGGTGCAGCAGAGCAGGTCAACGGCGCAGCAGAGCAGGTTCAGCGGCGCAGCAGAGCAGGTTCAGCGGCGCAGCGGAGCAGGTTCAGCGGCGCAGCAGAGCAGGTTCACCGGCGCAGCAGAGCAGGTTCAGCGGCGCAGCAGTACAGGTCAGCGGCGCAGCGGAACAGGTCATCGGCGAAGCAGGCTCACAAACACTTCAAAACCACCATCAAGGTCCTTCACTCTGACGGTGGCGGTGAATTCCGCAACAACACTCTCAAAGCTTTCTGCTCCACTGAGGGTATTCGTCAGACCTTCACTCTCCCGGACAGTCCCCAACAGAACGGTATTGCCGAAAGCCGGAAAGGTACATTGGTGCAGATTGCTCGCTGCCTCCTCACGCACGCCTCCGCCCCTCCCTCTCTCTGGGGGTACGCCATGCTTCATGCTGCCGCCCTCCACAATCTCCATCCCCATCCTCATCACACCCACACCACCCCCGCTGAGCTATGGACGGGTCAAAAGCCATCCGTCCGCCCTCTTCGTGTATGGGGGTGCACTTCCTATGTCCTCCTCAACTCCCAAGCCCATCGTGCGGCTGGCGGCAAACTTGCTCCCAACACGATCACGTGCGTATACCTAAGGCACAACTTAGATTCGCCAGACTATCTCTTCCTCCATCCTTCCACCAACAAGCTCTATCGCAGCCGGGACGTTTACTTTGATGAGTCCCACCCATTCTACCCCTCCTCCAAGGCTTCCCCCTCTCCTCCGCCTCCCTCTCTTACTTGGGCTGACTTTGACAGTCTCCCTCTTCCCGACACTCCATCTCCTCCTCTTCCCGCTCCCTCCACCATTTCTGATCCCCCATCACCCGCTTCCCCCTCCAGTACCACACAGTCTCCCTCGCTCCCTCCCTCCTCCGCTACCCCTACTCCATCTCCTCTCGCATCTCCTCCTACCGAGCCCGTTCCTCTCAAAACCTACCAACGCCGTCACCCAGCTCCTCCTCCTCCTGCTCCCACCCCTGATCCCGATCCTGTCTCCACTCTCCCTACCACTCCCACCTCCCCTTCCGCTGCGCCTACTCCGGCCCCGCCTCTTTCACCCATCGCTTCTCGCAACCGCTCTCGCACACCTCCACAACCGTTCTCCCTTTCCGTTCGCGTCTCTCTCAATCCTCCTCCTGTCGGGGGTGATTATTCTCTCATGCCATCCCTCCTTGAAGACAGACATGAGGAGTTGATTGATATCGACTCAGCCATCCACGCACTCTGCTTCCTCTTTCCAGACATCGCAGACTCTCCCACCCTCAATTTCTCCGACAACCCCTCCATCCCCACACCTCTCACCTATGCTGAAGCAGTCTCTGGTCCTCACGCCGCTCAGTGGTTGGGGGCCATTGTCGCAGAATGTGAGGCCTTCATTCACATAGGAACTTTCACAGACGTCTCTCCTCCCTCCGGCGTCAACATTGTGAAGGGAAAATGGGTCTTTCGGGTGAAACAACTTCCAGGCGAATTTCCTGTCTTCAAAGCCCGGTACTGTGCCAAGGGATTTACCCAAAAGCGTGGACTGGACTTCTTTGAGACATTCTCTCCCACTGCCAAACCTCCCACACTGCGCACCCTTCTCGATGTCGCTGCTCGAGATGACATGGAAGTTGACTGCATGGATGTGTCTTCTGCGTTCCTGCAAGGGATCCTTCGACAGGAAATCTATATGGAGCGGCCCGAAGGATTTCCAGCTCTTTTTCCACCAGGCACTGTATGGAAGCTGGATCGGCCAGTGTATGGCCTCAAGCAAGCTCCCCGGGAATGGCACAACAAGCTAAAGAGCACCTTAGGGTCCCTCGACTTTTACCCATCCACCTCTGACCCCAGCCTCTTCATCCGAGCAACACCCTCCCGGTTCTTCATCCTCATTTATGTCGATGACATGATCCTTGTCACCAAGGATCAGACTGAGCTGGCAGCAGTCAAAACCGCACTTGGTGAGAAGCTGGCCATGAAGGACCTTGGGAAGCTGACGAACTATTTGGGAATGGAAATCACACGTGATCGCACAGCCCGCACCATCACCCTTTCGCAGAAGTTTTGCATCAACAACGTTCTGACGAGGTTCCAGATGCAGGAAGCAGCATCAATGCCCACCCCACTCTCTCTGCAACACCAACTCACTGCACCCTCCGTTCCCTCACCTGAGCCCTGTAACGAGCCTTACCCCGAGCTCGTGGGATCCCTCATGTACGCGATGATGTGCACTCGACCAGACTTAGCCTATCCAGTCAGTGTACTGTCCCGCTACGTTGCACCTGGTCGCTTCACTCGCCACCACTGGTCTGCCGCCAAGCGGGTTCTTCGCTATCTCAAAGGCACACAGGATTACGTGCTCACACTTGGCGACACTTCCCCGGTTCGCCTTGAGGGGTACAGTGACTCATCCTATGCTGATGACCAGAGTGATCGGCGCTCGTCCCAAGGGTATTGCTTCACCCTTGGCAATGGGGTTGTAAGTTGGCGCTCCACTCGGTCGTCCTCCGTCTCACTGTCGACCTGTGAGGCAGAGCTGTATGCCGGGACCATGGCTGCCCAGGAGGCTTGTTGGCTCTCCTTCTTGCTGACAGAACTGGGGTATCCCCAACCAACCCCAACGCTTTGGTGTGACAACGAGAGCACCATTCATCTCACCAAAGACCCCGTTTTCCATGGCCGCACCAAGCACATTGAAGTCCGTCACTTCTTTCTTCGTGAGCTGGTGCAGCGCGAGCAGCTGAAGGCTGAACACATTGCCTCCGACTGCAACCTTGCTGACTTGTTTACCAAGTCGCTTGTTCGCGAGGATCATTACCGCCTCCTCTCGGCCATGGGTGTCGGGCCTCCTTGTGGCTGATGTGTTGCAGCCTAGGGGGTGTGTTAGAATTAGGCTATCAACACTTTGTGTACTATATTCTATATCGCGTAGGTTATTTGCGGGTTGGGTGTAGTTTGTAATCCCAACCCTATCTGGTTGGGATTCCCTCATAATCCTGCAAATCTGCCAACTCACCAATTGGAGATTTGCTAGGATTCCCATCCCATCCTTTCCCTAGCCTTGCCCATCCCAACCTCGTTTGTACTTAAGGCCTAGTGCCTTCTTTCCTAATCAATCAGTTCAGTTCCAATTCTATCAGCACCCACCGAACCACTTCCCTCCTCTTCCCTCACCCTAACACCACCCCTTTTCCCCATCCCCCCCCTCCCCCCATTCTCTCTTAATTGTCGAACTGCTCTCGGAGCGCCAGCAACACATTCTTCTGCTCGCTGCTGTCGATGATGGGAAGACGGCACGAGCACAAACCCTCCCACCCCCCCTCTTCCCACGCCCTCTCACTTGTCAAACCGTTCTCGGAACGCCAGCATCACATTCTTCTGCTCGCTGCTGCTGTTGATGGCCGCAAGATGGAACGAGCAAGCACCCGCAATAACCACCCTCCCCTCTTGCCTCCAACCCTAAACCCCTGGCGCCCACGTACTTGTCAAACCGTTCTCGGTATGCTAGCATGACATTCTTTTGCTCGCTGCTGTCGATGGCATGTGGAAGCGCCTCCAGAGGCAGCTGTAGACGCTCAGGACTCATTCTGGTGAACGTGGTGGGGGAGGTGGGGAGGGGGGGGTGTAGGTGGAAAGGAGAGGGAGGGGAAAGGAAATGAGTGGGTCGCATGGCATGTGGAAGCGCACGCCTCCAGAAGCAGCTGTAGACGCTCAGGACTCATTCTGGTGTCGTGGTTGAGGGAGGGTGTGGGTGTGTGGGTGTGGATGGGGGAGGAACGACAGGGAGAAGAGAGTGAGTGAGTCGAATGGCCTTTTGAAGCACCTCCGGGGGCAGCTGCAGACCTTTGGGACTCATTCTGGTGATGGTGGTGGTTGGAGGAAGAGGCGCGCGGGGATGGGGAGCTGGACGAAGAAGTGAAAAGAACACGTGGCATGTGGTAGCACATCGGATGCAACTGTAGGCGCTCAAGAATCATTCTGGTGATGGTGGTGGTGCGCGTGGCGGTGGTGGTTGGGGGTGGGTGTGTGTGGAGAGGAGCGGGAGGAAGAGGGATTTGGATCACATGGCACGGGACGCACATGCAGCTGTCGGCGCTCTGAGATCATTTCGATGTTTTGCTGGGGGAGAGGGTGTGGGTAATGGGGTGTGGGTGGGCGGGGAGAAGGGGAGAAGTGAATCACATGGTATCTCGAGTGGAAGCAAGCAGCTTCACAGGCAACTGCGGGCGCTCACGACTCATTCTTGGCGGTGGTTGTGGGGAGGATGGGGCAGGTGGGGATGGGGGTGTGAAGTGGTGGGGGGAGAAGGCCGGAGGTAAAAGCGTTGGAAGGGTAAATCAGATGTACAGGCAGCAAGGGACGGTAGTAGAGAGACGCGCACACGCAGAAACCAAGTGAAGTGCCTGCGTTTGTGCGTCAATCAGATGTGTGGAGGAGCAGAAGAGCACATGGAGGAGCAGGCATTTGCATACAGACTCACCGAAATCCGCTACTACTACTCATTTATCCAACCAGCTACCTATCCCAGCCAGGCATCAGGACCATAGAGAGACCCTCTTGTTCAAGCACACCAGGGAAGAGTAACAAGAGGCGGACAGACTCACCGGATGAGCATTGGAATGCGCCTATCCAGCGCATCAGGCACAACCCCTTCCGGCACAATGCCCCCATGATCCACCACCCCTGCTGCACTCCGCTCCTCTTCTCTCCCCCTCCTCCGCCCACCACCACCACCTCCCAATCCGCCTGCCGCCAAACGCCCTAGGGCTTGGTCCTCCCAATCTGCTGGATCAATCCGCTCATTCGAGCCCTCTGAGAGGGGGACTTGGTCAGAACGTTCTGAGCGTACTGCTGCTTGGTTCGGACCGTGTGGGTTGGAGGGCAGTGGGTGGGTGGAGGCTTGGGAGGAGGGCAGCAGCTGGTGGTGCAGCTGCTGCTGGAGTTGACCCACTCGGCCCAGCAGCGGCCCTGTGTTGTCCACTACATCTGCTGTGGGTTTGGAAGGGGAAGAGAATGGGTGGAGAGGGAAAGAGAATGGGTGGAGTGGAAAAGAAATGGGTGGAAAGGGAAAGAGAATGGGTGGAGAGGGAAAGAGAATGGGTGGAGAGGGGAAGAGAATGGGTGGAGAGGGGAAGAGAAGGGTTGGGAAGGGGAAGAGAGGGGTTGGAGAGGGGACGAGAGAGGGGAGCAGTGGCCCTGCGTTCTGCCGCCCAGGCGAGGAGAGAGGTGGAACTTCATCTCTGTGGGCTCGACTCAATCAGCAGCATCTGGCGCACTCAGCCAGCCCAGCAGCAGCCCTGTGTGCTGCACTGCACGTGATGCAGCACTGCACGTGATCCCTCGAGTGGATTGAAATTAATGACGTGTAGAATCACTCACTGTGGTTAAAAAGGCATGGATTGAGGGGTAGAGAGGTTAGGTAGCTCGGGTGTTATATCCCAGGCGAAAGCAGAGGCACCACACGTGGATGTTGTCTGGTTTTGATGCTATTCTTGATTTGAAACAATCCAACTGGGGAGCTCACAGAACAACGGAAATGAGCCACATGGAGACGGGAGGGCACGAGTGCGATTACCCGCTTGAGTGACTGCAATGAGGGCGGCCACGTGGCAAACAGCCAGCAGAAGGCGGCTCAACATGCGTGCTGCGCGCCAACAGGATTCCGCGCGCCTTTCACGCAGCACGACAGGGTATTCCAAGTCCATTGCGTATCCCGTCTTAACTCCGCTTCTACGCATTACCGGCCATGCATACTTCTCCCTGTCTGCAAACTTCCAGTCTTGTAACGTCCAGTCAGTCTTGCGCACGGTTGCGGAAGGTTACAAGTTCAGTCAGTCTTGCGTACGCTTATAAGACTGGAATGTTATAAGGTCCAGCCGTGTCATGTCGGCGGGTTACGGCGTGTCATATCTGTGAAACCAAGGCTGAGCGTGTGTACGCGCTACGGCCCTACACCATTATTCCGCTACTATGAGCATGCTATCGTCTTTTCCCATTATGCCAGCCAGGCATGATGCTTATTGAATACGTTCTGCTTGAGAGATACTATTCCCAGAAACCCAAGAAAAGCTGCTCTTTCGGTATTTGCAGGAACCAAAGATTCGGTATTGCGTTAATGCATTCGTCGGTCGGCACAATTCGGGTCTGGGAAACACGAGCAGCCGCGGACTGAACGGGAGAAGCGCACGGCGCGCCAGCAGGAGACGAGTCGAACACGTCCGATCGCGATCCAGCACTTCGGATCGTCTCAGAAAGCCGAGCGAGACTAATAAATGATAGCCTACACTTCTAAACACGCCATAGAACGAAGCAGTTGGTAAACAGGCACTAGCAATTAGCTTGATAACCACCATGACAGTATCGAATTTGCTCCACTCGCACCTCTCATTCAAGCTTCACTGGCATAACATCAAGCACTGAGCTTTACACGGTTGAAAGCGGTCTTATCTCCACTTTTTGGATTAGTTAACGGTTCAGTGAGCTTTAATGAAACAAGCATTCGATATTGGCATGAAAATATGTCGGGGACTGAAGTAGTGCTGCAGATGTTTCTGGTCGGTAACAGCCGTCGATCTTATGAGCTGGAGCCTCAAGCGAGAAACGGCAACACCAACCAACCACTCGCGCACTGGTGATGTTGCTGTCGTATCACGCTTGTCCAAAAGGCCACTCGATAAACTGGGTAACTTCACGACACCGAATGTTTCTGATCTGCTATACATCTAACTAGTAGATTTGACTTTCACCACCGAAGCTCATCCAACGCTAGTCAAACCACCTTCAGAGTGTGCAACATAACGGAAGTGGAAACCAGTACGCTACCGGGTACACCATTTAATAATAATGACCTCCTAGCTATTTTTGCCCAAGCCATTCTCAAGTTTCATACACTATGGCCGCATCTAAAAGGCCATGATCCCGAGAAGGAAATGTAGAAGGCAATTTTCCAAAGGCAATTTTTTTCTATTTCACGTAAGGAAGGGCCTCTTCGACTCGAACAACAACAGAGTCGCCGAGTTTCTGCACCACCACCACCCTGTCGTGCTTCCTCAGCACCCCGATGCGCTGGCCCTGAAGAATGGCCTCCTTAAGAACAGTCTCGTTAGTGGATACGTCGCTTTGCTCCTGTGAGATGAAGAGATTAGAAATCGGTAGCAATTAGACAACCACATGGGAGCTGACGCGGGCAGACTGAGAAGATCATTAAAGCGAGACCACGATAACGAGTTGGACAGAACTAGGACAATGAACACATAGCAAAGGGCCCAAAAATACAACCTCATCCCAACCTGGACCTGGTCATGAACAATACTGACCAAAACTGTTTCGTGTTGTAAGTGTTTCCTCCACTGGATTAACCTTCAACCGTGTTATACGATACTGTGAACATACCAGCGTCTTGGGTGTAGCCATCATGGGGATGAGCCCTCGCATAAGACAACACATGTGAGCCTGTTGCCGTGGTAAGGAGGGGTAGGGGAGATCGAGGGTTCAAGGGATGAAGACAAAGATTCATCCCGGAAAACTGGACATGAAAAAACTGAATAGAAGCAAGATGCAGCAGCTTAAACATGCAGCAGAGGGAACAAGTGGAGGGATGAAGGCAGAGATGTGGACAGTGCGGTGCAGCGAAGTGGACCGTTAAGACTCTTGCAAGAAGTGGAGTGGAGTGGAGGGAGAGTCACAGCCAGAAAGAAAGTGATAAGTTGCACCGTTGCAGCACAATGGACGTTGCATGCCTCTTTTTGCAGCGTCCATTGAGAAATATTAGAATGCATTATCCCTGATTCTGGCTTGCCTTGAAGGTATAACAGCTCCATAGAATTCTTGCCTATACCATGCAGAGCAAAGCAAAGGAGAAATCTCACCGGGAATTCACCCGGGTATGCAGGCCTGTAACATGAACAGAGCACAAGAGAAAACTCACCGGGACCTCGCCCTGCACCGTCCATCTGAGCTTATCGACGTAGAGGCGTGGAATGACGAGCGTGAGAACAGGCATGGTTGGCTTGTACTTGGCCACGAGCCTAGCATGGGGGATTGTGGGTGAGGGCAATGTGGGGGAAAGGGGGAGGGGAGGAACGTGGAAGGACGAGCGTGAGCACAGGCATGGTTGGCTTGCACTTGGCCACGAGCCTGGGAAGCAGGGGAGAACGAGGGGACAGTAGAGAGAGAGGGGAAGGGAAGGGGAGCAAAGGAAGGGTGGCTTGCACTTGGCCACGAGCCTGGGAAGGGGATGGAAGCGAGAGAAGTGGGAGAATGGGAGGGGAGAGCGGGCTGGAATGGTTTTTTTTTGGGGTGGGGGAAAGGGAGAGAGGGGGGAAGGGAGAGCGGGGGGAAGGGAGAGAGGGGGAAATGGGAAGGGGTGTGGTGTGGAGGGGGGTTAGAGTGAGCACGGGCATGGATGGCCTAGTCACTGGCCACGAGCCTGACATGGTGGGGGGAAGACGATGGGGAAAAGGGGTGGTGGACGGGGGAGGAGGGGAGAGAAAGGGAGGAGAGAGAAAGGGAGGGGAGAGGTGTGGAGGGGCCAGAGTGAGTAACAACACAGACATAGATGGCATTGTATTTGACCGCGAGCGTGGGAGAAAGAGAAAGGGTGAAGAAATGGTTAGAGGTGAAAGGACCAGAGTGAGTAACAGATGCATGGACGGCATTCAACTTGTCCACGAGCGTGGGATAGAGAGGAAAGAGGTATCAGGGGAGGGGAGGAAGCACATAAAGGATTACTACAGGTATGCTCAGCTCATGGTTGGGCAAGAGCAAGCAAAGCTTGCCCACACCGGAGGCCACAATCTGTCTGCTAAAGAGGGAGGACGATGTGGGAGGAAGGAAGCGAGTGATTGCCTGACAGGGGCATCAGGTGATCACTGGCAGGTAACATACCTGAAACACCTGAAAGAATCCACTGTTGACTTCACCTGGAAAGGACTACGCGCGACTCACCTGGCCATTCTTCCAGAGGAGGTGAACACCACAATCGCTGCTGCATGCACCTTCTCTGCTGTTTTCACCGCGGATGAGGCCATGGCTTCGAGCTCGCTCATGGTGTCAGTAGCTTCCTTAACCGCCTTCTTGAAATAGAGCTCCTGGTTGTATGCCTTCTCCGCCTGGCAGGGGCAGGGGGGTGCAGGAAGGAATAGAGTTCTTGGTTGGGTTGGAAGTAGCACCGGCAAGTTGGCTTCCTTGACCGCATGGTTGTAGTAGAGCTCCTGGTTGTACGCCTTCTCGGCCTGGCAGGGAAATAAAATTAGAGAGATGAGAGCAGGCGGAGCAATTGTTTCTCTGGAAGTCTCTCAACCTGGTTGGGGTGCGGTGCAACTACAACGAGAACGAGGCTGCAGCTTGCTTGGCCGCCTTCACCGCCTTCTTCAAGTGGAGCCTTCTCTGGTTGTATGACTTCTCTGCCTGGCAAGGGCAGGAAATCCATGATGGAATCGAGAGACCGATGTGAGAGGTTCGGAGGGGTGGGGGGTGGGGGGAAATGTTTTTGTTGAGCTGTGCCATCGTGGATGCGGTGGTAGTATATGCAACTTGCTTGAGAATGCATCGACACACACGCACGGAAGTGCTCGTGTGTGCGAGCACGCATGATTGGGGAACTCCTATACATGACAAGGCATTCACATGTGAAACCTCGATGGAGCTGCATCACATGAAACTCTTCTTTGCACAGAAGAATCGCACCTTCCCGAAGATGAAATGAAACACACCTCGGAACAGATGAGGCGCACAGTTGACACTGTCTCAGTAGGGTACAGCCCTCTCAGCGTCTCAGCTCCCAGCATAATAGCATCCACTCCTGGACAAGGACACGTAAATCAATAAAAAGTCATAAACAGACGATCACAAAAAAAAACAAACAAACAAACAAACAAACACTGACAAAAGCAGGGAGGAGGGTAGCATGAAAAGGAAAGTTAGAGAGGGGAAAACGGGCGAGGGGAGGAGCGAGGACGGAAGACAGAACGTCAGTATGAAGAGAGAGAAAGCCCTCTTAACATCTCAGCTCCCAGCATAATCGCACCCACTGTCACTCAATCTCACCCACCGACTATTGATCCCAACCACCACCACCCCCACCACCAACCCACCCACCCAACCCCCCGCCCACCCACCCAATCTTCCACCCACCCGGCCGCCCACCCACCCACCCAACCACCCAGCCCTGCACCACCCACCGTCCAGCACCCATTTACTAATTTTGCACAACGTCGGTGGCTTCAGCTCAAGTGGGGTGGGGTGTGACTGTGATCACATGTGATTCATTCAATCGTAGAGCCGCTACTCATACACACACTGATTGATATAGTCACTTCACAACCCATCCCACCCCACCCACCGTCCAGCACAGCGTTGGCGACGTCGGTGGCCTCGGCACGGGTGGGGCGGGGCGTGTCTGTCATCGTGTCGACCACTCGCGAGATGACACATGGCTTGCCCGCCATGTTGGCCTTGTAGATGGCCACCTTCTGCATCAGAAACACCTGTTGGCGGGATGAAGGACGGGAGGGAGAGAGAAAGAATGAGCACGTGCCGACACATGGAATGCCCGGTGTGTCAGCCTTCTATATTGCCACCTTTTCCATCTGGGTTTGAAAGGAAAAAACCATCTGCTCAGATTGGATTGGGTAGAGTAGAAAGAGAACTGTGAAACTTGGGCTGGGTTTGATCAGCTGTGGCAGAACCAAATACGGGAACCAGAGGAGGGGAGGAGCATGTTTTCCTCGTCTGTGACAAGGAGAGAAATGGCTTGACCTGCATGTGCTAGCGGTTAAGCTACCTGGCCGGCCTCGCAGTGGTCTGGTAGTAAGCGAGGCATCAGTAGTTTCTCAGAGGCATCAGTAGTTTCTCAGAGGCATCAGTACCTTTTCTGCAGGCAGGTCGATTCCAAGGTCGCCTCGCCCCAGCACGAGCCCATCTGCCTCTGCCAGAATCTCGTCGATCTTCCTCAGCCCCTGCTTGTGTGCACATGGAAACACACACCACGCACACGCAGGCGCACACACATGCGTGCATCAAGCACCTTCCCCCCCCCCACACACGCACACGCGCACACACACACACACACACACGCACACACACACACACACACACACACACACACACGTACGCACATGTACACATGCACAAGTCTTTTGAGCACTGTGCTGTGTTGTTGTGATATGCCAATGGTTGCGCTGTGCTGTGCACACTCAAGCAGATTCATAGTGTGACCCATGGCCTTTTTACTTTGGAAGAGTTCTAGCTGATTCAAGAAGCAACACAACAGCACAGCACAACCAGCGGCACAAGGTGGGCGCACCTGAATGCTTTCGATCTTAGCAAAGATGAAGGACTGCGAGAGCTTGCCCAGTTGGGCGAGGTGATTGCGCGCCTGAGTGGGGTGGAGAGGGATGGAGAGAGATGGAGATGGGATGGGGAGGGATGCCCGGATGGGGATGGGATGAGAGGAGGGGAGTAAGGAGGAAACATGAGCTAACATAGTGACAAGAGGTAGTTGCGTGTGACCCCTGGCAGGGTTGGGGAGGACGGCCTGAATGGGGGGGGAGAGGGAGGGATGGGGACGGATGGGGACGGATGGGGAGGGATGGAGAGGGATGGGGAGGGATGGATGGGAAGGGATAGGGAGGGATGGAGAGGGATGGGGAGCATCTGTGCATTCTCTCACTCACATGTTGTGTGACAGGCAGGATGTGTGTGGTTTCTCGTGTTAGATGAAATCGACTCACATATCTGACGTCCTCTGCGCTGCGGGTGAAGGAGAGGAAGATGATGTGCGGCAAGCACAAGGTGTGCACTGTGTTAGAATCAGTGACTCACATATCTGACATCCTCTGCGTTGCGAGTGAAGGAGAGGAAGATGATGTGCGGCAAGCAGTTCACTCCCCACGTGGACAGGTGGCGCTCGTCCACCTTGGAGAGGATAGGCATGTCCGTGTCAACCTGAGATGGGTTGAGTCAAGTGTGAGAGGAGAAGTGAATGGAAGGGAATGGATCGGGATGTAAGGGAATGGGAGAGAGTGGCGGCGCTCGTCCACCTTGGAGAGAATGGGCATGTCCGTGTCCACCTGTGATGGGACGGGGCGAGGAGCGAGGGTGGGAGTGAGGGGACTGGAAGGGAGTGGAAGGGAGTGGAAGGGAGTGGAAGGGAGTGGAAGGGAGTGGAAGGGGATGGGACAGGTGGCGGTCGTCCACCTTGGAGAGGATGGGCATGTTCGCCTCTACCTGTGTGAGAAGAGGAGGGCGAGAGGGAAGGAGCGTGTGACTTTGTGAAGCCCATGCCTTGCAGGGGATGGGCTTGAGCCTTGAGCGATGGATGGATCGTGGAGTGGAGTGTGAGTAACGGACAGGTGAGCTTCGGAGGCCTTACTTCCATTCCATCAACTCATGTTGTTTAGGCCTCCGCGGCCCACCTGTCCATTACTGACACGATGGGCATGAGCGATGGATGGATCGTGGAGTGGAGAGCGAAGGGAGGAGGAGAGGAGATGGGAGCAAGAGAAACTCAAAAGGCAAGAAGCATGCCCGTCCGTGCCCACCCTTTATGGGACGAATCCAGTGAAAGAGAAGGGTGTGAGTGATTGTGTGCAGCAGAGCAGAGCAGAGCAGAGGATGGGGACGGGCTGTACCTGAGCAGCATGCACGGTGAAGAATTCCCCTTGGAGCTCTGCTGTGTTGGTCACCGTGCACACTATGTCGTCCCCCTTCACCTCCTCCACCTGCAAATGGGTGGGGAGGGGTTGGGAAGTTTTTTGTGCCACAAAGCAAACTCGAAACTCGACCATTTTACGGAGTTTTTTCAACACTCGGACGAGTTCAAAGAAAACTCGTCCGAGTCAAGTAAAACTCGACTCGTTGTTAAACACCCCCCTTACCCACCACCCCACGAAACCAGTTTAGTGAAAGGAAATGCCGCGCGGATCTAGCGGCGGAATGCTAGGTGCAGGCAGATATGGCGGCGGAATGCTAGGTGCGGGCGGATCTAGCGGCGGAATGCTATGTGCGGGCGGATCTGGCGGCGGAATGCTAGGTGCGGGCGGATCTAGCGGCGGAATGCTATGTGCGTTCAGATCTGGCGGCGGAGTGCTAGCTGCGGGCGGATCTAGCGGCGGAATGCTATGTGCGGGCGGATCTGGCGGCGGAATGCTAGGTGCGGCCGGATCTGGCGGCGGAATGCTAGGGGCGGCTGGATCTGGCGGCGGAATGCTAGGTGCGGGCGGATCTAGCGGCGGAATGCTAGGCGCGGGCGGATCTGGTGGCAAAATGCTCACGAGCCCCAAAAACTTGCGAGTTTTGAAAAAACTTGCTTGGTAGCCGAGTTTTTCACCAGTTTTTTTAACTCGCGAGCAAAACTCGACTCGAGCAACCGAGTTTTTTTTTACAAAAAAACAAACTCGAAACTCGAGCTTTTCGAGTCCCTCGAACGAGTCGAGGAAAAACTCGACTCGTTTGCCCATGTATAGGATAGACTTCCTTGCTTGCATGCATGCATATGTATTTTGACGGCCCTGCTCACCTTGAGCCACACAGACGTGGTCTCGCTGCCTGTGAAGAGGTAGCGCCCCACAAACACCTCATCCCCTGGCTTCACCGCCTGGAGTGGGATGAGCATTGGGCAGGCAGGGAGGGAGGGGAAAGATAGGGGCGGAGGGGGGGTCAGATGTGATTGGCTGAAAGCATGTGGATTTGCCTGGTGGTGGCCTCGCTGCCTGCGAAAGGTAGCGCCCCACAAACACTTCGTTCACTGGCTTCACCGCTTGGGGAGGGTAGAGGCGGGGGTGACGGGAGGTGGTGTGAGTTGAGGTGAGTGATTGAGAGCATGTGCTTGCTGGTGGTCTCGCTGCCTGTGAAAGGTAGCGCTCCTCAAACACTTCGTCCGCCGGCTTCAGCGCTTGGAGACTGCACGGGGGCGCACGAGAGACGGGAGCAGGGATGAGACTGTGTAAGGACATGTGCTTGGCTTCACGGTTTGGGAGGTGGCAGGGAGAGAAGAACACTGATGGAGAGGACAGAACGATGGTGATGGAGAGACACTGATAGGGGACAGAACGATGGTGATGGAGGGAAATAAGAGACGCAAGTGCACGAGCCCGTGCACGCCCACACACACACACACACACACACACACGCACGCACGCACGCAGGCATGCACACACACACACACACACACACACACACACACACACACACACACGCACGCACACACACGCAAACACACGTGCGCGCGAGCGCACACACACACACACACACACACACACACACACACACACACACACACACACACGCACGCACACACACGCAAACACACGTGCGCGCGAGCGCACACACACACACACACACACACACACACACACACACACACACACACACAGACCTTGGCGAGCTCAGGGCAGGCGAGGGGCAGCGCGTTGGCAGTGACGGGTTGGTCCTTGTCGCCCGACAGCACCACCGTGCTGCCCGCTGTCATGGTCACTGTGGCATTGTTGCTGTTGAAAATGGTGATTTCGGGACCGTGCGTGTCGTACACAACCTGAATGAGGGTGGGGTGGGAATAGGATACACACGGATCAACGCCTGGATGCCGGTAGTAAACATGTGTGTCTCGAGTGATCGTCACTGCGGCACTCCTGCTGTTGAAGATGGTGATCTCAGGCCCGTGCGTGTCGTATGCAGTCTCTGGGGGTTGAGGTGGGGCATGAGGAAGGGTGAGGTGGTGGTGGTATGGTAAGAATAAAAGCCCGTTCATTCTTTTACGTAACGTTATGGGTGCTGAGTCTGACTGACTGCCATGCCATAAGTGTTGCTGTTGCTGTTGCTGTTGCTGTTGCTGTTACTGTTGCTGCTGCTGTTGCTGTTGCTGGTGCTGGTGCTGGTGGTTTTCTCAAGGCTGTGCTGTGCCTGTCAGTGGGTGGGCGGCGGCAGTACCCTAAACCCGTTGTAGTGTTCATCTCATCACGATCAAGCCAGTCTTACCGCGCACATGCGGTGCGTTTTCTTCATGGCTTCCCGCAGGTTGTCGTACGTCTCCTGGTGGTTCTCCTGGTCGTTCACTGAAAAGTCGAACCGTGCAGCTGTCAGGGGGTGAATGAGGGGTGGGGGACGGGGGCGACAGACGGCAGTACAGGAGATGCAGAACGGTGGGGAGAGGGACGGAAGCGAGCCTTTAATGCGCCACCGGACATGCTGCTCGCGAAGAAAGCAAAGAGTGCAGCTGTCAGGCGGGGGGCGAGGGGTGGGGGGACGGGGGCGACAGACGGCAGTGCAGGAGACGCAGAACGGTGGGGGAAGAGAAGGGAGAGGGACGGGATTGAGGCTTTAATGCGCCACCGGAAATGCTACTCTCTGAGAAAGCATAGCGGGCAGCTGAACGGAGCCAGGTGGACCGCGGGGACGAAAATCGGGTTGATGAAGGACTAAGGAAGGGAGGGAGGGAAGGGAGGAGGGGAGGGGGAGGGAAAGGGGGGGGAAGGGGGAGTTTGGTTGTTGGTGGGGGTTTGGGGAGGAAGGGGTGGGAAGCGATGACGGGTGTGCAGGACATGTAATCACGCAATCAAAGCTGTAGAAAGGGGAACGGCGATTCTTGACCCCGTACGCATAGCAAGCTCACTCCCTCACTAATCAACCCCGTTTCGTTTCCCACCGCTCCAATGATAATTACGCAAATGCGTCATGCATATCGTCCGCACACCTCCCCACCCCGTCTTTCCTCTTTCCCTCATCCCAGCACTCGCGCAGGCACCTGTCATGCCCGCTTCGAGCAAAGCCGAAAGCTGCTCCACGGTCTTCGAGTTGCCGCCTACCGTCCCCACGATCTTGGTCAGGCATGGAACCGACCTCTGGCGTTCACGACGTACGCGATATAGAGAATTACGGAATGTGAGCGAGGTGTGACGCTTGATGAAAAAGGAAAGGGAGGTACTAGAGCATGCTGTCCGTATGCTATTACGACCGACTTAAAACCCCGTGGATCGCCGACGGGGGGACGTCTGGTAGAGTGACTTTAACGAACAGAAACTGGTACTCATGAAGGTGCAAACGAAAGCAATGAAGACACATGTGATGGCAATGACGACACGTGCAATCTACTACAACGAGGAGAAGTTGCGACGGCTGAGGTATTACGTGATAGTGAGAGTGTTCCAATATCGAGGCCAGCCGGATGGGTTCCTCGAGAAGCAACGGTGACGTCTGCAGCAGCAGAAGAACAGCAAGTCAGGGTTGGAGTCGACACTTGAAAGTCGGAGTGATTCAGGACGAATAATCTATGCAATTCTCGCATTTGTCGATTAAACCGCCTGTATCTCGATATTACCATTTCACGAGTGGATGCGTCACTTACAATCGACCATTGACAGCACAAATGACCACCTACCAGCTACAATTAAGTAGCGAGCTACCAGCTACAATTAACCACCTACAATCAGCGAGTTGCGCGCGGCATCTACGGAAGGCCTTCCCGCGCCGACGCGCACAGTGAACGTGTCCATGACTGGGACGTAGGAAACGAGCCTAGAATACTCTGGGATGCCGTATTCTTATTGGCTGTTCCGTGAGCGTAATGCAACAAGAATATGCGAGGAGCGCCAGCAACGAAACAATGGCTCCTAAACTCCGCTGCGGACGAGCCCACTTGTTTGTGCTTGGCAACTCCTCCCTGTGCAGTCAGTTCACTGAGCATGTTGTTGACATGGAAATTGATGACTTCAAGAGTTTCCGAGGCCAGGTTCAGTAGCTTTGGCTCGTGGAAGCATGTCTGACACAGGCTCGGTTTGGATAAGCCAGTTTGTGATAGGTTGACTGCTTCATTCACCACCAACAAAACCTGCGTCAAACCTTGTAGTCTGCCTCGTCGAACACGTCGAGGCTAGCTTGATCTGGTCCGGTTCTGCTTTCGAGGTTGACGGTTTTGAAGGGTGACTGGTTGACCTCGACGATAGGGATGTGTGAGTCCATTCATCTGAGTCGTCCTTACCAGGTCAGCATGACGAGATCGATGGCTCACGGTGGGCTGCGTGCAGAACGACTGACGCTCACAGATAGCGATGGCGAGAGCAATTCGGAAAAGCTGAGGTCAGGGTTTGTGGAGCCATGTAGCCAGATTATAAGCTCTAGCACAACGACTCTTATCAGTTGGGACCCCAGGTTTCCAGTTTTGTTAAACGAGGAATATGATCAACTTACTATTACTATGAGGATCTATTTTAACTAACATGTTCAATCTATTGTGCTTGAAAATCATTGATACTGAGAAGCATAATCATCATATAAACACATCATTAGTATCTAAAACACATCATACACACTATCATATCCAAATATTAAAGGGGTCATCGTACCGTAATTGTTGGAAATATGTCATTCTTGTCAACATATATAGTTATACATCTAGTTCTATAACTCCCTGTAGTATAGATGTGTAGTCCCTATCAGGCCCTCAGATTCAATTTTAGGGACGTTGATGCATCAGGGTCCCTGTGAAAAAATAATCTCATTTTCAGTGTTCCAAAAAAAAAAAAGCCTGATTTTCCAAGGTCCACTCCACAAAGAAATCAAACTAATTTTCAAACAGATAACTTGGTTACATAGTCTTCAAGAGAAAGCCCGGTGGCCTCTAACCGCAGACCTTATGTCAAACTATATATATTATAATTTTTAAACACACATTGTGTTTTTTTAAAATTGTGTATTGTGAAAGCGAAGCTGCTTGTACTGCACAATTGGCATCGTCGAAGCGCGCTAAACGCCCTTCTCCAACTACAAAAACCGTGGGTTGGAGTTCATTTCCCTCCACCCACGTTTCTGTCAGAATGTTATCTTATGTTCTAGCCTGTAGTGCGGTGCTCTATAGCGAGAACAACCCTTCTAGGGTTTGCCATTTGTATCCCCATTTCTGCTAGTTCAATCCTCTTTCTTTCTTCTAATTTTATCATGCTATGAGAGCAGGTCGATCCCCTTGGATCGATCCTGTGGGTGGGTTACCACCTCCACGCTTCCGCTACCATTTTTTCTTCCCGCCGTGCGCCCCGAGGCGCGCGGCGGTTTTCTGCCCGCCGTGCGCCCCGAGGCGCGCGGCGGTTCTCTGCCCGCTGTGCGCCCCGAGGCGCGCGACGGGCTTCTGCCCCGTCGTTCGCCGCGTCGCCCTTTGGAGGCGCCGCGACGGGCGACGGGGACCCGTCGCGGCCCCGCCGCCCCACCATCGCGGCCCCGCCACCGACCTGTCGCGGCCCCGCCGCCCCACCATCGCGGCCCCGCCACCGACCTGTCGCGGCCCCGCCACCTCCGGTGTCAGAACATATCTATAGCTTATACTGCTGTGTAGGCTGTAGTGGGGTATCCCATAGGGGGTACAACCCAGTTAGGGTTTCATATTTGTACTGCTTTCATTCATAGTTGATTCATTCCTGTTTTCCTATTTTCACATGGTATAGAGCGGGTCCTACCTTAGGACCGTTGTCTGGGCCCACCGACGCGCGCCCCGAGGCGCGCCCTTTTTTTTTTTTAGCGACCCCTCGGGTCGCCTTTTCACTCGCGGCCCCGCCGCCTCCTCTGACGCGGCTTTGCCGCCTCCCCTGACGCGGCCCAGCCGCCTCCCTTGACGCGGCCCCGCCGCCTCTTTTAACGCGGCCCCGCCGCCTCCCTTGACGCGGCCTCGCCGCCTCCCCTGACGCGGCCCCGCCGCCTCCCCTGACGCGGCCCTGCCGCCTCCCTTGACGCGGCCCCGCCGCCTCCCTTGACGCGGCCCCGCCGCCTCCCCTGACGCGGCCCCGCCGCCTCCCCTGACGAGGCCCCGCCGCCTCCCCTGACGCGACTCCGCCGCCTCCCCTGACGCGGCCCCGCCGCCTCCATTGACGCGGCCCCGCCGCCTCCCCTGACGCGGCCACGCCGCCTCCTCTGACGCGGCCCCGCCTCTGCTGCCGACGGCCCCGCCGCTGCACTCTACGGCCCGCCGCTGCACCCTGCCGGCCCGTCGCTGCTCCTGCCGGCCCGCCGCTGCACCCTGCCGGCCCGCCGCTGCTCCTGCCGGCCCGCCGCTGCACCTACCGGCCCGCCGCTGCACCCATCGGCCCGCCGCCTCTTACGGCCCGCCACTTGCACCTGCCGGCCCGCCGCTGCACCTGCCGGCCCGACGCTGCACCTGCCGGCCCGACGCTGCATCTCCCGGCCGAGCCGCCCCAGCAGCCGAGCCGCCCGGGACCCGAGCCGCCCTGCCGCCGAGCCGCCCGGGAGCCGAGCCGCCCTGCACCCGAGCCGCCCAGCCGCCGAGCCGCCCGGGAGCCGAGCCGCCCTGCACCCGAGCTGCCCAGCCGCCGAGCCGCCCGGGAGCCGAGCCGCCCTGCGCCCGAGCCGCCCAGCCGCCGAGCCGCCCGGGAGCCGAGCAGCTGTGCACCCGAGCCGCCCGGTCGCTGAGCCGCCTTTCTGCTGACTGCACGACCTGCCCTGCCTGGTGAGCACTGTCCCACTGACACTGCGAGCTCTTTCCCTACTGCTTGCACTGCGTCGCTGTCGTCACCATGGCTACCCCTAGTGTCCTAGCTTTTGACGCTGAGGGTCGCGCCATTGATTTTGAGGTCTGGTTAGACGACCTGCAGCTGTTCTTACAGTGCGACAGGGCTGACGACCTTTCTCTCTTTGACCTCACCTCTGGCGCCTCTCCTGCCCCTGCTGCTGATGCTGATCCCGCTGTCCGCTCTAAGTGGGCCACCCGCGATGCTGCTGCACGTCTTGCTGTGCGTCGCCACCTCCCTACCTCTGAGCGTGCGCACTTTAGTCAGTACAAGAGTGCTCAGACCTTGTACGACGCTGTAGTTGCGCGCTACTCCTCCCCTGCCACTGCTGCACTGAGCCGTCTCATGCTTCCCTACCTCTTTCCTGACCTCTCTGCCTTTCCCACTGTCGCTGACCTCATTACGCACCTCCGCACTAGTGACACTCGCTACCGCGCCGCCCTTCCTGCTGAGTTCTGCGCTAAGAACCCCCCCCCCATGTACATCGCTCTCTACTACGTAGTCGCACGCCTCCCTGACTCCCTTCGCGTCGTCAGGGACCACTTTCTCGCAGTCTGTCCCACCACTCTCACCGTCGACCTCCTCGAGAAGGCCCTCCTTGCAGCGGAGAAGAGCATAGTCGCTGTAGGTGCTTCTCGTGGTGACCCTCGCACCCCCATCTTTGAGGGGTGCTCTCCTTCCCCCTTGCTGCCCTCTGTTGCCTCTGCTGCTGCTGCCGACCTGCTTGGTCTTGAGTCGGTCGGCGCGGCGTCTGCCCCTAGTGGGAGACGTCGCTCCAGCAAGGGCAAGGGGGGCAAGGGCGCGGGTGGAGCTGGAGGGGGCGGTGGCGGTGGCGGCGGTGGCGGCGGAGGGAGTGGGGGTGGCGGCGGGGCTAGTGGCGGGGGTGGTGGTGGTGGTGGCGGCAGCAGCGTCGGAGACGGTGGTGGTGGTGCCAGCGGTGGTGGTGGAGGCAGCGGCGGAGGTGGAGGCGGCGGAGGTGGAGGCAGTGGAGGCGGCAGCGGAGGAGGTAGTAGTGGTGGAGGAGGTGGAGCTGGTCGGGGTGGTACCCAGCAGCGTAGCGGCGGTGGTGGTGGCCAGCGCTCGCACCGGCAGCAGCAGCAGCGCTCGCGGGACATCCCTTCGCCTCAGCAGCTTCGTGAGTGGTACGCTGGGCGTCAGAGGGGTGGGGGTACTGGTCCCTGCACCTACGTTCTTCGTTCCGGCGACCGCGCGGGTGAGCAGTGTGGGGGTGCCCACGCCACCCAGCGCTGCTTTGGCCGCCTGACGGACGCTTGGCGTCAGCAGTTCCCTGGGGCTAGTGAGATCCCTCGCTGGGATGAGCTTCTCAGGGCTGGTGTAGCGATCTTTGATCTTGATTTTGATGCTATCCTTACTGCTATGTATGTTGTGGATTATAGTGAGGAGAATGAGGGTTACCGGTGTTTTCAGCCCGACCCGGGCATTGGTACTGCTGCGCTAGGTGCTTGTGAGGCTGCTGCTCTAGGTGCCAGTGCGTCTGCGCTCTCAGGTACTGGTGAGACTGCGCTCTCAGGTACTGAGTCGTCCTCGTCCTCCCTCACTTTCACACTTGACTCCGGAGCTTCTCGCTCCTTCTTTCGAGACCGCACTACCCTTTCGCCGCTCGCCAGGCCGGTTGCGGTCTCCCTTGCTGACCCCTCTGGGGGTCCTGTCCTGTCTCACTTC